GCATGGATATTATCCTATCACAGAGAGCTTGTACCTCATGACTGATCAGGTTATGTTCTTTTTGACAATAAATGCAACACCATTCCTCCTCAATTTGTCATTTCCGGCATAGTAAACCATGTGGTTGTCAGATTCAAAATGACCAATACCAGTCCACTTTAGCTGACTAATGCCTAAGATATCAGTGTTTATGCGTTCCATTTCATTTTTGACAACTTCCAATTTTCCCAGATAATACTTCGTACGTTCCATGTTCCAATTTTCAATGGATGTTTACAACTGTTTCTCTTCATTTTGAGTTGTGCCCCATCAGCAAATGAATAAATAAGATTAGGAATACTTAAAAATGTAGCAGATGTTGTTTTCATTGAGGCATTTTTCATATAAACCAAACATAACCCATTACCACTGAGTCCACTCCAAGACTGTAAATCTTTATGGGAGAAGGCAGTTTCATTTTTCTTTTGTGGGGAGACTGGTGGGTTTGAATTGCTGACCTTGTGGTTAGCAGCCCAATGCAAACCCCATAATGCCAACTGGTTCCTTATATAGATGGATTAAATGAATTCATTGTTTAAAAATTAACTTTTGATCATAATAAGAATAAGACATTAAAAATCAACTTTTGCAAATTACTCCTTTTTGTTCTTACATATTTAAGTAATTCAATACTATCTCTCTTTTTTTCCTATATAGGATTATCCCTGTGAAGATTATTATTCAATAGTGCACAGAAAATGCCGTTCTCAATTCACAGATCTAGATGGTTCCAAAAGATTTGGCATTAACCATTGGCAAGATGAGAGTGGAATTTATGCTAATTCAGATGTAAAACAAAAATTCTACCCATTAACTGGTGGTCCTATTGTTCCATTTTAAAAGTAATGTATGGAATCAGATTCTTTCTAGTAAAGGAATAATGGATGTAACAGTTGCTGATTATATATCCCAACAAATGTAAGAATATGTTAGTAGAGTACGTCCCTTTAAGCACAAAATCTTATATTTTAGGCAAGTATGTTTATCTTTAAGGAGCTCTGGTAGCATAGTGGTTACGAGTCAGGCTACTAACCTCAAGGTTAGCAGGTCAAGACTACCAGCCATTCTACAGGAGAAAGTTGAGGCTTTCTGCTCCCATCAAGATTTACAGCCTCAGAAACCCTGTGCAGGGTCATTATGAGTCAGAACCAACTTCATGGCACATCACCACCATATTTATCTTTATTTTCACAAACGATTTCCATATTTTCTAAGATTTAGTATGTGTACCATTGAGGCATATACTTCTAGATGGTACTTGGAAGACATGTATTTTATTTTATTCTACTGACTATGTATTTATTTTAGTTTCTATTAGGAAAAATGCAAACAAAAACCAAAAGGAAACAACCCTGGTGTAAAAAAACTTATGGATTGCTTAGAATTTGGCTAATTAAAAAAAGGAACTAACTTATGTTTCATTTAAAGACAGGTTTGAAGTGAATAAAAATATGTTGTTCTTAAGTGCCGCCAATCATTTACAACTCATAGTGGCCCTGTATAGAGTTTCCAAGGAGCAGCTGGTGAGCTTGAACCGCCATAGCACTGTGGGTTAGTGTGCTGGACTTCAAACTTCATTTGAATCGCAAGGTCGGCAGTTGCTCCTCGAAAACCAGTTGCTCCTCAAAAACCCTATACAGGGTGCTATGAGTTGGAACCAATTTGAAGGCATTTAACAACAACAACAATGACTTAAGTTTGGACAACACTGGCATTTAATACTATTGAATTTGTATTTGTGTGGGCTGAATGTGGCTTTTTACAGGACTAGCTGCTCTGTGGATTGTTTATTCAATATCTTGCTGGTCTTTATTCAAGTGTATAGGATCACAGAGATACAAATAGGATTTTATTAAAAGTTAAGGGGTTTGGTGGAAATATCAAGGATCATCAGGCATTAGATTTGTGAGAAACCTTAGAGGTTGCTTTGACTCAGCCTCTCATTTTACCAAACTGAGGTTCACAGAGGTTGATGTAGGTAGCTGGTTTGACATCATTCGTAGACTCTAGTTGATCTTTTAGGTGCATTTGAACTTTTATTTCTTCTGAGGAAGGGCTTAATTATTTGGTGAGGCTGACTTAATTTAGTCTCATTATTTCTCATAAAAAAAAATGAGTTCATGCAACTTAAACACCTGTCAGTGGAAGAATGCATGAACAAAGTATGGTACATACATACAATGCAACCTTAAGGAATCACAATTAATATAGAAAATACTTCATAACACAGATGAACTTGGAGACTGTTATGCTGACTGAAATTAGTCAATCACAAAAGGACAAATAGTGTACGAGAACATTATTATAAAACATCAAGAAAAGTCTTAACACTAAAAGAAACTTCCTTTGATGGTGGGAGGCAAACACAAGATATATTACTAGTTAGAGGGTTGTTGTTAAGTGCCTTCAAGTTGGTTCCGACTAATAGTGACCCTGTATAGGGTTTTCAAATGTGACTGCTGGATTTGAACCGGAGAGTGACAGTGCAGTCCAGTGCATTGTCCCACAGTGCTGCCACACCAGGACTCCAAATTAGAAGGTAGATACATATTAACTTATATGAAGGGGAAGGTCGTATATAATAAGAGTGAGGCCAAAACATGATGGTGGCAGGAAAAATCATTAGGAGGAGTGCAAGAGTTAAAGAGAAATACTGTTATATAGATAATCCTGCAATGATGGTCATCTATGGGTAGATGCACTGATAGACAAGCAGGCTGAATAGATACAGGAGGCAGGAAGACTATCCATGACTATATAAAGGTTTGACAGAGGATAGTTCTACCTATGTGCATTCACTTGTGGCAAATATAATCTACAAATGTGGCAAAGCATACAGGGGACAAAGATGAAAACTTCTAAGACAAACCAAACACCTTGAGGGAATGAGTTGCTGGGTGTGGAAGCTCAAGACCAGAATCTTAGGAGACACCAAGGTTAATGGACATAACATAGTCCACAACAATATTGTTCTACATGCTACTTTGGTGAATAGTGACTGGAACCCTCTAAGGTGTAATGTTAGTCTCTTCCTGTCTGGAGAAAAGAAGAATAAAAAACATCAACGAAGCATGGAAACAATTAGTGCAGTGGATTGATAGAGCACGTGAACACCAGTTTCCATGATCCTAGGACCATAAGAACTAAAAGCTGCCCAAATACCACTACCAACTGCTCTGAAAGAGATCACATTAGAATGTTTTGGATAAAGGGGGGTGGAAGAGAGCAAAGAATGTGGAACAAAACTCAAAATCATTAAAAAAAAAAGACCAGGCTTACTGGTCTAATAGAAACTGATGGAATCCCTAAGACTATGACCCTTAGTTGCCCTTCATGTCTGGATATAAACGTACCCCCATGACTCAATGTTTAGTCAAACAGTTGACAGTTCCTATAAAGGGAACAATAATGTAGGCAGTTTCCACTCCTGAGGTCACAGAGCCAGCATTTATTCAAGGACAAAGCTCAGAAGGGATAAGAAAGGAGGAGAAGTGGAAACAAAAAATACAGGGTACAAGTGATGTTATACTGTGGGGATTACAATCAATGACCTGAAACAAAATGCATATGAATAGTTGGATGTAAAACTGATGATCTGCTCTTCAAGTCTTCGCCCAATTCACAATGAAAAAGTTAGAAAGTAAGAAAATATTTCATGATAATACTAATTAAGCACTGCATCCAACTGTTGATTAGCAAAATATGGGAAAGAATATAAATTCTCTGTGGGAAGAAATAATAAAGAAAATTTGGATAGTTCAAGTAAATTTTCACCAGCAGTTTTACTATTATTTCTTGTTGCTTTAAAGTGTGTGTGGATGTGTATATGGGTACATGTATATGCATGTTTTAGGAGCTCTGGTAGCGTAGTGGTTACGAATCGGGCTGCTAACCTTAAGGTCAGCAGTTCAAAACTACCAGCCGCTCCGCGGGAGAAAGATGAGGCTTTCTACTCCCGTAAAGATTTACACCCTTGGAAACCCTGTACGGGGTCGCTATGGGTCGGAACCGACTCGATGGCACTTCACAACAACAACAACATATGCATGTTTAAAAATATAGGTGCAATATACATGGAATTTAAATTATGCATAAATACTATATTTACCTAGAGTTATATCTACCTAGAGTTACCTTTCCTTCCACATACCATAAATTCAAGTTTATTCCTAACACTTACTAGCATATCTGGATGGACAATGTTGGAAGTATGCAAATCCTATGTCAAGTTACTCAGCATTTGATCATTTCTTTTTGTGAAGAAACTGTCTTTAACACATCATTACCATTGAACAGTGCACTGTGCCTAAAAAAAAAAAAAGCAAGCAAGCAAGCAAGAAAATATACCTACTTTAGCAGAAATTCTCTACTGTCACAATGACTGGCATCACATTTTGTATAACTAACCTTGAGTCGGCCATGAGAGACCAACTTAGAAATCAGTTTGGGTTTGGGTTAAAAGAATGAAATAAGAGAGATTATGTTTAAACTACTCAGGAATGTTGTTGTTGTTGTTATTAAAGTGTCATTGAGTTGGTTCTGACTTATAGTGACCAAGTATAGGGTTTCTGAGGAGTGGCTGGTGAGTTTGAACCACCAACCTTGTGGTTCAAACCAATCTTGTGGTTCTGTGCTTATCCTACAATGTTATACCAGGGCTCAGGAATAAGAGTGTAGAATTTCAATAGTGAGAAATTGCTATCATGACTAATTGCAAGTGTCACAACTATAAATGTACAAGTTTTGTAACAAAAATGGGGGAGTAGTTAATCTTATAGTCTAGAAACAGAGGACCCTAGGACCATCAAGAGAGAAGAGAACAAGAAGAGTACAGGACCCTATCCAGAGAAGCAGCAACACCAGAGATGAAGGCAGAGATGATGAGATGGAGAGAGGGAGCAGCTGAGGGCTCTGAACTCATGGAAAGAGAGGGACTGAGAGCTGGCGGCCAGGAGGCAGATTTGCAGAATGTGCCCTTTGGTTGTTTAAATTATTATATATTCCTGAGTGTTTCTGTGTACATTCCACTCCCCACCCTCCACACACCCCCCGCAACAAAACAAAACAAGGAATGGAAGCAAAGACTGTTAAATGATGATGCACGGAGGAGATTATAATCATTGCAATGAAACGATGGTGTAAAGCTAATGTTCTCCCATGTAATCCTTCACTAAGTTCACAATAAAAACGTAAGAAAAAAAAAAAAGTGTGGAATTTACAGATCTCATTTCAAGGGAGTCCTGGTGTTGTGCTGGATAAATACTGGACTGCTTACCACAAGGTCAGAAGTTCAAATCCACCTTGAAAGCCCTATAGAGGGTCGTTATGAGTTGGAACCAACTTGACAGCATTTAACACCAATAACGGTCCTATGAAGCTCTGGTGGCACAATGACTAAGAGCTCAGGGGGAACCAAATGGTCAGCAGCTGCTCCCTGGAGGGAAGATGTGGCAGGCAGTCTACTGTCAGCCTTGGAATTCTATGGGGCAATGGGTAGAGTCAGCTAAGTGAGACTGGAACCTATATGTGCTCAGTGCTTTTCATACATTTACCGTGTCTCATCATCACAACTTTATTAAATGTATGGGTGTCTGTATATGTGTTTCTCCCTCTACATCTGCTTATCTATCTCTCCAGCTGGCCACCCATCCATGATTGCTGTTAGGTGCCATCAAGATGGTTCTGACTTCTAGCAACCTTATAACCAACAGAATGAACCACTGCCTGATCTTGCACTATCCTCACAATTGCTGTGTTTGAGCCCATTGTTCCTGCCTGTGTCAATCCATCTCTTTGGTAGTCTTCCTCTTTTTCTCTGGCCCTGCACTTTACCATCCATA